ACAAAGAATGGCTTTGGGCCAGGTGGCATAGGCAGTCCGATCCCTGACCTCTCTGTTTGCCAAAGTGTCCTTGGGCAAGACTGTTATAATTAGCAACAATTCGAACTATCATGTATTCTGAATCTGTATTTTTCCACTTAACCTATAATCCTGTTTTACACTTTTCTACTTAGCGCAATGTACGTCCTTGAAGATAACATGGCCGGTGAGAACTGGTTCACATACTGGGAGACAGTGGAAACTCCTCTATTCTATCAGTTGCTTTAGATACATGCTTTTTGGACAACACACACACACTTTGTATTCAATCCAAGCAGTTCTGTTTACATTTTAGTGAACTTCCACGTGAAAAGTGGTTAGCCTGTTCATGTCACAGTAACTGGCCAATTATACTCGGTTGCGTACAAGTCCAAACTCTGTTCGGGGCAGGCCCAGCCCAAGAAGATAAATGTGAATCATTTCCAGATATTGGGCCTCCCTATGATAGTGCGAGAGTCCTGTCCCTCCGAGTCCAGCGCTGCCTCACTTTATACCTGTGACCTAAATAAATTCTACAGCTATGAACTGAAGATTTCACCGGTTTGTTCTTGGGCGTCCATCTAAAGAATCGGGTTAACAAGACGTTAAACCTGAAGATGCTCCTGATGACAGGCAAGCACCTTGCATGACAGCGTGTGAATGGTGTAGGGTAGGAAATAAGATATACTTATCTCCACACTCAAGCAAATGATTGCATTATTTAAAATGATCAAAACCAACCTCTAAATTATTCGTCCAATGATATAATTTCAGAATCAGCACAACAATTCTAATAAACTGTTTACTCTTGGTGATCAATCAAGAGTGTTTTATAATGTCAGGGAAGTAACTTTGAGCTCAGGTAACTATGAAGATCACATATGTAAAGTGACTGAAAGTAAGCTACAGAAAACACAGGAAACTGTATACGCACAAAACATTTATTACTAACTGAAACAAACAAATAACTACAACAAACATAAAACACAAACCAAGATGAAAATGCTGATTGAGAATCTGAGAGTGAGCAACCGAATATAGATCAGGAGTGTGGCTCTGAGGCTTGAAACGCCTTTTCACCCGAAGCAGCAGATAACTGTTAAATTTGGAATATTTGTTTAAAGGCCAGTTGTAATTATGAAACACTCGTTGCGGTGTCCTTGGATTCGGGTGCGGATGCAGCGACATCTGATGTTGGGAGAGACCATAGACTGTATAAAAAAAGGACGTAGCTACCGTGACGTCACCCATTGGTTTCTGAACTGAGAAAATGAAGCCAGGGTTTTGCTACTTCCTGGTTGACATCTTGGATTTTTGGAGCCAGTGACGCAAAAATCGTCGGAGGGGGGAGGAACCAAGCAATTGGTCAGAGGGATTGAGAGGCAGGCCCTCTCTGCCCGCCCACATTTACTGCCTTCTGCTCGCTTCGTCTGCATCGTAGTTGCCGACTGTCAATCAAGCCAGCCACGCCCCTTGCCCCGCAAAATTTTGACGATTTTTAAAACATTCAGTTTTGATTTATTTTCAGATTGGCCACCTGATCTCTGGATTTGACTATGAAAACTATCCATCCATCCATTATCTATACACCGCTTAATCCTCACCAGGGTCGCGGGGGGGCTGGAGCCTATCCCAGCCGACTTAGGGCGAAGGCAGGGGACACCCTGGACAGGTCGCCAGTCTATCGCAGGGCCACACTTAGAGACAGACAACCAAGCACACTCACATTCACACCTACGGACAATTTAGAATCACCAATTAACCTCAACATGTTTTTGGAATGTGTGGGAGGAAGCCAGAGAACCCGGAGAGAACCCACGCTGCACGGGGAGAACATGCAAACTCCACGCAGAAAGATTCCGGTGCCCCCACCGGGACGCGAACCGGCAACCTTCTAGCTGCGAGGCAACAGTGCCACCAACTGCGCCACCTTGCAGCCCACTATGAAAACTAATAAGAAAAAAATCCTGAGCTGCAGGAATGCGGTATTTCGTGATATGTGATCACTTCTTTTCCAATTCAAGTCAATGGGAGCCAGGGTTTTTGGAGCCAGCAACTAGCGGACGTAATGATATTGCAGGTTTTTGACACTTCCGGGTTGGCTTCATTTTTCAGGACCTGTTGCTACATCCATCTTTTATACAGTCTATGGGAGAGACGAGGCCTTCAGCTTCAGAGAATAAGATCAGGATGTGGCAGTTAACAAAAGAGACCAAAGTGAGAAGTTCTACTGCAGTTAGAAAATTCCGCAGTCTTTCGGTTGAAGAGGCTTTAATAGTAAAATAACTGACCAATCACAAAGAGCTCTCTTCCCACAAGGGCAGTTAGATATGACACCCCTGTGGTCAAAGGGGGGTCATGAGGTGTTCAGAGTTTTGTTCTGAAAGCAACGATGTTACTCTAGAACTATATGTACTTGTAGTTATACAAAGTTAAGCTTGTTGGAAATGAATATCTCACATTTAGAGGATCGCAAAGAGTCTAAACATGAGATATTTATCTCTCACGGTTACAAGGATAATACAGTACGTAGGATATATGATTATATACCAAGCAGATAAAATCAAAAGGGGTGTATCCAACTATGATTAAGCTTTGGAGTATTTATCAGGATGTTTTATACTTCCACATTTAATGACTAACATAAGATAGTGAAGGCACATTAAGATCCTCTCGTGCTTTCCTCCCCATTGTCTATACTCGCATTCTTTAGGTCCAGAGCAGAGAGAGGAGGAGGGGTAGAGCAATAAAGATCACCTTGACGCCTGTTTTCCATTCCACCATTTGGTTAGTCAGGCTCTCCTTGAGTGTCTCTTATCTGATAGTTCCCTTTGAAGCTCTGGTGGTGTGATCTGTTGATTTATACCTTCCTGTGAAGGGCTGTAAAGTTTTGTGTCTCTCTGGCAGCTGTGTTTGTTCATATCCTACAATGGGTAACCACTGAGGTAGAAAAGCCTACATATAGACCATATAGTTGTCGTGTGGTTTAAAAAAAAAAAAAAAAAAAGAGTTGAATAAAAAAATATAATGTTCTTTCATCTTCGCGTCAAACATTATTTATTTTTATTACTTTGTTTCCTGACTGAGCATCATAGTGTGTTGTGTTTAGCTCTGTCGCCTTACAACTAGAAGGTCCTGAGATCTTTTTGTGTGGAGTTTGCATGTTCTCCCTGTACCTACGTGGGTTATCACTAGGTGCTCTGGCCTTCTCCTATAGTCCAAAGACATGCTAAGGTTAATTGGTGATTCTAAGTTGTCTGTAGGTGTGAATGTGAGTGTGCTTGATAGTCTGTTTTTCTATGTGGGCCTGTAATAGACCGGTGACCTGTCCAGGGTGTACCCTGTCTTTGCCTCAAGTCAGCTGAGACTGAAAACCTGCAAGAACCCCCTAGAACCTACAGAGAATTAAGCGGTGTATAGATAATGGAAGATAAAAACCTTGCTGTTTTCCTTTGGTATTCTAAGATTGAGAGTGCTGTGTAAAACATTACCGCTTAGTAAAATATAGGTATACTATTTGATTCCATTGTAACTCTATAGAAACTGATCTCACCACTAGCTTCTTATGAAAAACAGAAAACCAAAAAGCAGATGATCTTTCTGGGAAATGTAAGCAAATACGTTTCTTTAAAATATTATTGGGTTAACATTTTTCAATAAAATCTCTACAGTTACAGTTGGTTAACAAACATGATCAAAGCTTTATCGGTTATGGTTTATCACTGAACAGCAGCTCTGACTGAGCAGAAATTAGAAAACTAAGATTTCTTCATCAGAAATCAATCTCATTAATAATAAACAAAATGCTGCAGGCAGAAAGATTTAGCCATTGTGAAAAAGATCAGTTAAAAAGACCAGGATTCCCTTTTAGCATCTGACCCTGTGTATGTTCCAAATGTCTCTCTCTTTGACACTTTTGGATATTAACTGGGTTGTTTCATTTCTGAATGACCAATCAAAAGTTGGACAACAATCGTCTGACTGTATGTTAAGTAAAGTACTGGAGTCAGGATGTTGTCAGCCTGGCTTAGCATAAAGACTGAAAGCAGCTGGTAGTAAGTAGCCTAGCTCTGTCCACAAATATGTCTACCAACATATCTAAAACTTACAAGTGTCTCTTTTTGACATTAGAGACGACTGCTAATATCCCATTACCATTAGTTTTTAGAACAAGATGGTGGTTGACTGCCACAAAACTGTTATTCACTTTTACAGCTGTTATGGTATCACATTTAAAAAAAACCTTAATATTTCTAGATTTACTGCTTTTACTGTTATAAATTTAACAAAAATAGTATGCTGTTTTCTCCATCTTCATGCATCCTTCAAGGACCTTTCTAATATTGTGTAGGTCCCCCTCGTGCTGCCAAAACATCTCTGACCCTTGGAGACATTAATACCACATGATCTCTGAAGATGTAATGTGGTATCATTAGCAAGACGTAGATAGATAGATAGATAGATAGATAGATAGATAGATAGATAGATAGATAGATAGATAGATAGACCTGCTGCTAGCTCTTACCTAGTTAAAAGATGCACATACACACCTGGCCATTCACATAATGTAAAAGAAAACATGATTCATCAGATCAGACCACCTTTTTCCATTGCTACATGGCTAAATTCACATTCTCATTGTGGGTGCGTTGGCCAATGGGGTTGGCATGGGTACTCTGACTGGTCTACTGATATGTAGTTGTAAGCTGTGATGCACTTTGTGTTCTGGCACCTTGCTATCATAGCCTGCATCAAGGTTTTCAGCTATTTGTGCTACAGTAACTCTCCTGTGGGACTTTGTCAGACTGCCTAATATATTCCATTCCTTGACAAAAACCATTGTAATGAGATAATCAGTGTAAATCATGTCACATGACAGTGGTTTTAATATTGTGGCTGATCGGTGTATGTAACATGTTTATATTAGTCACAGGTACCACTTAAGGCATATTTCTTTTATTGTCAGCTTCTGTATTTGTTACCAGGGCAATTGTGGAAGCTGCTTGGTTTTTGAGATTTGATTGTTTCTGATGGCCAATCTCTTGGATCATTCCTCTCATGGCAGTTTTGTCTGAGCGGTGGCGACTAACTATTTTAGTTGCTTGTCTGTGCTTTGCAGCTTCCTGTGGGAATTGCTGTGTGTACAAATGGTCTGTATACTGCAGTTCTGGTGTTACAAGTCTCTGACATTTTGTTTTCATTTGTCTATCTAGGTGTGGGTTTAGGTTATAGCCTTGAATTACAGCTGCTCCATACTGGAATGGCTTCAGCCCAGCGTCTTTTACATGTGATGGGTCTACTGCCCCCCCATCTTTGAGGCAGGTGTTTGCTAGCTTGGCTTGTAGATCTTTCAACTGAGATATTTCCCTATTCAGCTTTTCTTGTCCAACCAGACTATCCACTTTGTGCCAGAAGGTGGTGTTAAAATGCAGGTAAATTCTCCAGTCTAAAGCATTCCACTTTTTGATTTTCTCTGCAGTGGCATGTAAAAGATGGTGGCGATTTTTTTCACTGCGACTGTTAAGCCGGAATGAAACCACATCTTCCAATGACCAGCAGAGAACATGCTTTAGCAAGATCATGGACTCGTCAAAGTATTCTGAAATAAGAATAAGGTTGAAGTCCTGTTCTATTGCTGCAATAGCCACGGTGGCTCTTTCCTCCAAGTCTTCAGCACCAGCTGCAACATTGTTGTCAAAGCCAAAGTCAAAAGCCAGGATATTGTGAGCATAGTGATTGTTGAGGACTGATGAGTTATAGTTTCTCCAGCTGTGGTCTAAGAAGTCATCCAGGCTATAGGTGTTATGGAAGGCTGGAATGCTCTTGAAGTAAATAAAGATGGATTCCATCATAGCCACAGGATGTCTCAGGATGGAAAAGTAGAAGGTATCCTCAGGCATCACCTTTTCCACCTAGGACATAAGATAGGAAACAAATATTTCCAGTTAAAATTTCAATACATGGCATATGGTTATGAACAAAAGTTATTGACTTTCCAATTTTGTATATCATGGCATTTCTGAGTTTCCACTGACTTGTATAACTCTTGATTTTCTATGATGGAATCATTGAAACACATGCGTCTTCATCATAAAAACAATCATGCATTTTCGTTGTTCTAAGATTTACTTTAGATCTTTTAGAAATTTTACTAATTCTGCAGGGGCAAAAACATACATACAGCAATGCTGATAGTTAAATGTCATTTTCACCTCAACAAGATGCTTTTGGTAGCCGTCCACAAGCTTCTGGCAAGCTTCTTTAAGATCTATGCAGATCCACTAAGAAAAGCTTTCTTCATGAGCAAAACTTGTCAATCCAGATGCTGTATATATGTATGTATGTTTTTGACCCAGCAGATTTTGTCATATTTCCATAAGACCTGTAATAACTCTTTGAAAAAAATACAATGCATGATTGTTTGTTGTGACAAAGATGTATGCTTTCTAAGGATTCCATCATAGAAAATTAAGAGTTATAGGAGTCGTTAGAAACGTAAGACTGCCATGATGTACATGGTCTTTACAAGTGTAAGTCATCTTGTTCACGACTGTATAAGTAACATATAACACACCCTTCCCCAATGGACACAGACATTGTAAGACTATACTAAGATGCTTCACTTGAATACCTAATCCTAGTCAAAGTGGTATCCACACAGGCATGTAGGAGGTAGGGGGTTGTTCAATGTTGCTGTTCATCAGCTCAGTTTAACTGATAGCACATTAAGCAGTATTGGTCCACCAATCCCATGCCAGACAACAGTCTACATATTGTATATGAGCACAAGAAAAACACATTCGGGCCCTGGGAATGATTACAGAGACCCCAGATATGAGGTGCAATCAAAAAGTTCAGTCTGCAACTATTTATTAATATAGCAATTACCCCATTTCTCCCTAAATTTCTTATGAGTGAAGAGGAAGAAACCACAGAGAACCAAATCTAGGGCAGCAACAAATTTCCTCTTGGTCTGCCCTGACCCAATGCACCGTCTCATGTCTTGGACAGAAATGGTTTGTTTGAAGAGTTTCTGTGACGACTCGTGATCAGTGACAGTGCGGGTGGACCCAAACGAAAAGGGAGACGGGGAGAAGGGTTAAAGGAAACAGGATTTATTGAAGGAAGGTGGTGGGGTGAAGTTCTTTGGGGTTGTGATCCGAGGAAGAGGGGTCCCGAGAGTGGTGCACGACGAGCCGGTGCCTGAGAGTGTGTGGGGTTTTTCCTCGTGCAGAGAGGGAGCCGTGACGAGGGAAACCGGGGTGGTGCACAGGGGTCCGGTGCTCAGGGTTCAGTGCTCGTGGGGGGGTGCTCTCGTGAAGGGTCTCCCGGTGAAGGTGTCCGTGGTAGTGAATTCCCATGGGTGGCAAAACGCTGGAGAGCTTGGAGGTGTGCCGAGTGCTGGAGCCGAAGAGGAGAACTGGAGACAAGGCAGAGAAACATACCATTAACTCGAAACTTGAGAACATCAAGAAAGCTGGACATGCTCAGTGCGGTGTAGCAGCTCGTGGCCTGACTGTTACCCCGTGGTAGGTATCACAATCCTCTGGCGTCGGTCTTCTGTGAGACGCCAGTATTTAAGCTGGGCACAGCTGATGAGCCGATGAGCCACAGCTGCCAGCGATCTCTCCTGATCGGCTCCGCCCAACCTGCAGTGAACAAAGGCACACCCACCAAAACCCAAAGACAGACAAAAACACAAAAACCCAGTGAAACAAAGTCTAGGATCCTCACAGTTTCAGTCAACATTTAGAATGCATCGGAGTACATTACCAGCACTGACAAAAGTCACCAATGATCTTCTTACAGCATCAGACAATGGACTCTTCACACTACTTGTCCTGCTGGATCTCAGTGACACATTTGACCCAGTTGATCACAAGATCCTATTACAGAGATTGGAACATGCCATTGGGGTTAAAGGAACTGCATTAAACTGTTTTAAATCACATCATCATATAGGTTCCTTTTTTTTGTGTGTGTTAATGATGATTCTTCCACTCACACCAGAGATAGTTATGGAGTTCCACAGGATTTTGTGTTAGGACAGATAGTATTTACTTTCGAATTGCTCCCCTTAGGCCCTTTTTTATGAGGAAACAATGCATATATTGCCATTCTTATGCAGATTGCACTCAATTACATTTATCTGTAAAAACCAAATGAAACCAGTTAGTTAAACTCCAAGCATGTCTAAAGGACATAAAGACCTGGATGACCTATAGTTGTCTTCAACTAGGTTCAGACTGAACTGAAGTTATGGTATTTGGCCCTGAGCACTTCAGAAACCACTGTCTAACCAGTATTTTGGATGGCATTGGCCTGGCCTCAAGTCCTACTTTGAGAAACCTTGGTGCTATTTTTGACCAGGATGTGTCCTTTCAGTCACACATAAGGCACTTCTTTAGGATAGCCTTCTTTCACCTGCATAGTTTTGTCAAAAACAGGAACATCATGTCTCAGAGTGATGTTGAAAATGTAATCCAAGCATTTCTAACCTCTAGGCTTGACAATTGTAACTCTTTATCATCAGGATGTCCCAATAATTCTCCTAAAAACCTCCAGCTGATAAAAATTAAAAAAAAAAAAAAAAATGAAGAAGAAGAAGCTGCAGGCAGAGTTCTTAAAGGAATCAGTAAAGGAGATCTTTGTTGGGATTCGAGTCTTGTGCTTTTGGTTTAGTAGTGTTCTTCCTGTGTGTTTTGCTGCGCTGCTGTGTGCGCTGCATTTTCAGGCTGGGCGGGGCCATGGTCGAGGAGGACTCTCCTCCGCACCTGTCCCGCATCATAATCAGCGCTGCTTTTAAGCCGGCTTCTTCCTGTGATGTGGCACCAGAGGATTCATTCCACAGGAGCCGTAGATCGGCCACGCTTTGTCTCGAGTTCTCGTGCTTATTGTTTGTTTTATGCTGACATTGTCGTATTGGCATTCCCTTCAGAGCCTCCTCAGCCTGACGTCTCCCCAGCCCAGCCATCATGAGGCAACCACCAGCAACAGCCCTTCGGGTTTCCCCCACTGGATCCAAGCTGTCACGAGCACCTTCTCCCTGGAGCATGGATTCCCCCCCCTGCACTGGAGCACACCGCTGGAGCCCCCAAAAGACCCTCTCACCTCCTCTCACGAAGACCAGCGTGCACCGGCACTTCCCCCTCCTGCTTCCTTGGTGTCCTCACTCCCTCCCTGAATAAAAACCCCCTTTATTATTGCAACCCGCCTTCGTTGACGCATTTTGGGTCCACTTCCTGTAATTTAGGAGCTCACTCCTAACAGAATCCTTTGGCCAACATGGACCCAGGGACCCCCGACACCCTAAAGGAAGCAATTAGTTCCCAAGGGATCCTTCTCGGCAGACATGACCACATGTCGGCAAGAGCAATGGATTCGCTGCAAGAACTTTCGCGGAGTGTGTTACAGCTGACTGCTCAGATGAGCATCCTCTCAGCACCTAGCCAGAGTGCTAGCGGTACAACTCTGGTGAGTAACTCTTCCGTACTTGATCTGCCGTCTCCTCTTTTGGAACCGCAGGTTCCCACTACTCCTGCCCCCCTAGATGTCCCAGTTGATGACTGGAAGTCTCCCTTCTGGGGAACCCGCCTGGCCTTTAAGACGCCACCCGATGGAAAGTGAGCTGCACAACGTAGTGGAGACCCCCAGTCAACCTCTATCAGCATTTTGTCCCGTGAGCTGACATAATTTATAATAGAGCCCTGGATAATTTCGAGGCCATTGCTCCCAGTTTCCCACCTGTACCTGCTCTCTGTGACTCTCAGGAGCCACTTCCTGGGAGACGTTCCAGGAAGCCGACGCCGGTGGTTGATGTCACCACCGAGCCAGTTCCTGCTCCTGTTCCTGGGCGGGTCAATGCTGCCACCGAGCTGGTTCCTGTTCCTGGACGGGTCGATGCCACCACCAAGCCTGTTCCTGTTCCCGGGTGGGTCGACGCTGCCACTGAGGCGGTTCCAGTTCCTGGATGGGTTAACGATGCCACCAAGCCGGTTCCTGATCCTGTTCCTGTTCTCCAGCGGTTTGCCACCGCCTCTGTTCCTGTGCCTGAGCAGGTCGATGCTGCCTCTGTTCCTGTCCTCGAGTGGGTCGACGCCACCTCCGTTCCTGTTCTCGAGTAGGTCGACGCCGCTTCTGTTCCTGTTCTCGAGCGGGTCAACGCCGTCTCTGTTCCTGTACTCGAGCGGGTTGACACCGTCTCTCCTGTTCCTGTGCCTGAGCGGGTTGATGCCACCTCTGTTCCTGTGCCTGAGCGGGTTGACGCCGCCTCTGATCCTGTTCTCGAGTGGGTTGACGTCGCTTCTGTTCCTGTTCTCGAGCGGGTCGACGCCGTCTCTGTTCCTGTTCTCGAGCGGGTCGACGCCGTCTCTGTTCCTGTTCTCGAGCAGGTCGACGCCGTCTTTCCTGTTCCTGTGCCTGAGCGGGTCGACGCCACCTCTGTTCCTGTTCTCAAGCGGGTCGACACTGCCTCTGTTCCTGTTCTCGAGTGGGTCGACGCCGCCTCTGTTCCTGTTCTCGAGTGGGTCAACGCCGTTTCTGTTCCTGTTCTCCAGCGGGTCGACGCCGTCTCTGTTCCTGTTCTCGAGCGGGTCAATGCCATCTGTCCTGTTCCTGTGCCTGAGCAGGTCAACGCCACCTCTGTTCCTGTTCTCGGGTGGGTCGACGCTGCCTCTGTTCCTGTGCCCGAGCGGGTCGACACCATCTTTCCTGTTCCTGTTCTCCAGTGGGTCGACGTCGTCTTTCCTGTTTGTGTTCTCGAGTGGGTGGACGCCGTCTCTCCGGTTCCTGTTCTCGAGCAGGTCGACACTGCTTCTGACCCTGTTTCCTGGTGGGTCGAGGCCACCTCTGATCCTGTTTCAGAATGGGTCGACGGCACCTTTGATCCTGTTTCTGAGCGGGTCGACGCTGCCTCTGTTCCTGTGCCCCAGCGGGTCGACACCGTCTCTCCTGTTCCTGTTCTCGAGTGGGTCGACACCGTCTCTCCTGTTTCTGTTCTCGAGTGGGTCGACGCCGTCTCTCCGGTTCCTCTTTTCGAGCAAGTTCGACACTGCCTCCGATCCTGTTTCCCGGCAGGTCGAGGCCACCTCTGATCCTGTTTCCGAGCGGGTTGACGCCACCTTTGATCCTGTTTCTGAGCGGGTCGATGCTGTCTCTACCGGCTCGGGGTGTTGGGACCTGCCAGAATGGGATGGCAATCCTGCTGGCAGAGAGACTGCCCCAGCCTGTCATGCTCCTGAGCCTTGGCCTCCAGAGGGGATCCACCTTCGCCGGCTCCAGGCCCAAGTCCGGCCTCCAGAGGGGATCCACCTTCACCAGCTCCCGGCCCGAGTCTGGCCTCCAGAGGGGCTCCGCCGTTAGGAGTCACTCCGAACATTCTTATTTCTCCCAAAATTAGCTTCTCTTTACTGACTCCCTGTAAACTCCAGAGTTGAAATTAAAATCCTGCTTCTCACTCTTAATGACCAAGCTCCATCATATCTTAAAGACCTTATTGTACTGTATTGCTCTGACAGAGCACTTTGCTCTCAGACTGCAGGTTTACTTGTGGTTCCCAGAGTTTACAGAAGTCGAATAGGAGGCAGAGCCTTCTGTTTCAGGCTCCTCTGTTGCAGAATCAGCTCCTAGTCTGGGTTTGGGAGGAAGACACTCTCTCTACGTTTAATATTAAGGTTAAAACTTTCCTCTTTGGTAAAGCTTGTAGTTAGGGATGCTTAGGATCACCCAAGCTGTCCCTTAGTTATGCTGCTATAGGTTTATATTCCTGGGAGACTTCCCATGATGCACTGAGCATCCCTTCCCTCCTATTTTCACTCTCTTCCATACAGTAAGACATTACCATTGCTCGAAACTAACTTTGTGTCCTCCCCATAATTTGTGTTCTGTCCTCTCTGCAGGTGTCTCTGGATCAGGAGCTACAAGTTTTTGATCTGTTGTCACTGGCCTCACCAATCTCCAAAATGTTACTAGCTCTATTAAGTATCGTTTGTCTGTTCTCCCTCTGGTATCCCAACCACTACCCCACCCCCCTTATTCCCACTCTCACACCAACCAGTTGAAGCAGCTTGCTGGAATCCCCGGTTTGTTTGTTTTAAAGAATTGAATTGAGTGTCATTGAATTGAGATTGCGACGTGTTCTACTTTGAAGACTTTTGTTTGGTCTGTGGGTCATAGCCACAGACCAAACTCTCATTATCATCAGTGTGAAGGCTGGGTCATCTTGAGCCTTGACAGGGATCCTCACAGGCTTTGACATGGTGCTGCTCCTGTAGGTCCACAGTGAAATCACAAGTGCACACCTGCAAGTGGTTACAAAAACATGCATAATGCAGGTCCCGATGCTGATAACACAATGTAACAATGAATCTTGACTCATGAGATGTACTGCCTGCACCAGTTACATGAGCGTGACTTTGCTGTGCTCCATTTGTGAACAACAGAAACAGCATCTGAACTTTTTGATTGTATCTCATGTAGCTCACTCTGGTCTCGTTAGCCACTCACAAGTACAGGCCTATTTCGGCCCTTTTGGAGCTGACTGACACATTTTTTGGGCCTTATTCAGGTCGCCTAAGTCAAAACCATTAAAAAAAAGCAAAAAAAACCCCAATGTGTTAACATGGACAAACTAATATAATCGCGGTTGTAAATTTATCAGTAAAGTGTAAAACACATATGGCAAAAAAAAAAAAAAAAAATGACACAGCATGAATCATTGTCTAAATGAAGCTCACCTCAGATTTTTTAAATCTCATGTGGTTGCACATGATGTGGAATTGTTTCACATTTCTGCTGCTGACTCCTTCCACAAAATGTGATGCAAAGAAGAATGGATAAAACAACTGGCTGTGTTTGTTTAGAGGAAGGGCGAAGGTCAAGTTCCTGCTTTCCCCATAGCGATATAGGATATTTAGAATGGTGCTGCTTGCCGTTTTGTGTGTCTTGAGGAAAACAATGTGAGACTGTGGGTAGCAGTTTGCTTTAGTAGGACCACTATTTCCATGAGCTTCTAAAAAATTGGATCTAAATTTGCGACTGTTGACCTTTTTGTCAAGGCCTGCATTAAAAACCATGCCGATTCTTTTGGGGGAAGAACCGGAAAGTTCAAAACTTGGCTTTCTTCCTGGTTTTGGGAGAATTTTTTTGCCAGGATAAACTTTTCTTGCTTCCACCTGAGAGCTTTGAGCAATGTTGATGACTTTTGCCACACTTGTCAACAGATTGTCATCTGACCGTTTTCCATATCCTTTGTTCTGATGATGAAGATGTTCTGTCTGTAGTGATCTCATGTCCAGCTTCACTGCAACTGATGACCCATAACGCATGCCCATCCATACATTTTGCTGAGTAGGATACAGACTCTGTTTGACAAGGAACCTCAAAGGCGGAAGTACTGTCAGCTTGTCATTCCTGAAAAAAAGTTGTAAATACAGTCAATATGATTTAAATTGATGTACAACAATGCAATATTTTACAAAATAAAGCATTACATTTTTTTTGTGACACTAGAAAGAAAGAAGCTGTAACATAAATTTGAAAGTGGTTAATATGCAAACAGAAAGTATTCCATGTTTTAAACCTTGAGTTCAGGTTTGGGCTGAATTGTTGAGTTGTTTTTTTAATTCATTCTACTTTGTGTAGAGAAAAAGTGTGAGCTTGACGTTTAAAAAGAAGTTCAAAGGGGTGTCAACATCTGCAGGTGTGCCTCCAATTAATTCAAATGTTGTCAATTAACCTATCAAAAGCTTCCTAAACCATGGCCTCATCGTTTGGCCTTTCCCATATAGTCTGAAGGCATAACAGTCTTTTAGCCTTAGTCAAGTCAGTGCTGAGAGTGTGACATTACCTGGTTTGGCGGGCGACAAAGGTCTGAATTGCAATACAGACCACGAGCAAGATGAGTAGTACACACAGAGAATGATGCCTGCTGCACAGCCATCTCCTGAAAGACCTGCTGGAATGAAATTCTTGAGATGAATGAAGTAACTTTGAGGTCAGTTGTAGATTGCAATTATCTAACAGACTTCATTCAGAGTGGGGGTCATCATAGCATGAGAGAACACGAAGCGAACTTTTGTGATCACTGCTCCTCCAGATGCTCTAACGACCTCTGGGTGAAACAATATATAAAACTGTGATGGAATCCATGCATTATCTATACACCGCTTAATCCTCACTAGGGTTGGGGGGGGGGCTGGAGCCTATCCCAGCCAACTCACACAGCATAATCAGCATCCCCAAATCAATTGATTTCAACACTTTTGAAGTGTCTATATGGGTCCACACCACAAAGTGTTAAT